TATATATATATATATATATATATATATATATATAACATACGCGCGTTGCTCGTGTATTTCATATCAATGAATACAAATTTTATAAAAATTACATAGATATTATTTACAAAAGTATCTTAATTATTAACTAAAATTTTAAAAAATTCAAATTCCTGAAAAAATGATAAAAAGTAATCACATTTATCTAACTCAATAAAAGAAGATTTCTTTATTGACACTATGAAAAACTACGAAACTCTATGACAATACTTTTGGAATGTGTTTTATTAACATTTTCTTTAAAAAAATAGTTTGAAATAGCTAATATTTTAAACATTACCCACCTTAAATCTTTTAAGATTTTAGCTAATTAAAAAATAATTGTGATCTCTTGAGTTTTGCTTTAAATTTTCATCTCTTGGTATCTTGAAGTGGAAGACTTCTAATGTCACCTGGATTATTGTTATTCTAGGTGAAATAAAAATTTCTAAAATCATATATTCTTGTGAAAATTAACTTAGTCAACTTATATAAATAATCTTATTGAGATCTGAATATTAGAAGTTCCTATATAGTTCAAATAAGAAAAGATTTAATAATAAAAATTTTAGTTAATTTTAATGTCCTAAAAATTTTAAAAAATTAATTAAACGCTAATTTTATCCAATGTAAAATTTGTTTTTAAATTTTAAAAAGGTCGATTAATTTTGCATTGAGGTTTCGTACTTTTATTATAGTCTAGATTGATTGAAGAAGACAAAATTAAGTAAAACATTGTTTACCTACATATTTAGTAGTTTTTAATTTTAGTCTCACATTATTTACCACGTAATTAGTATAAATTAATATACTTTGTGCAAATGCCAAGTGAAGTAAAAACTTTTCTTCAAAAAGATTACTCATTGATGTTTAAAAACTATTTTGTTCATCATGAATACAATTGGAGTACCATCAGGATGTCATTTTCCAATTACCATATAGAATTTACTTCAAAAGAACGGCTACAAATTTTGTACTAACGGTCCAAATAATTGACTTCTTAATTATTTATTTAAGGTAAATTTTTAATCATTTAAAGTTCTTAATTTTAGGTACCTAGTTTAAATAAGTAAAATTTAATAACCAAATTTTTAGGTCCTAAATATTAGGATAATCAAATGACTATTTTGTCCAATGTGAATTATATTTTAAACGGGTAAAAAAGGCGAACGACATTTCGCTAAGGACCTTCGTGTTTTTAATATAGTGTGTGTGTTATTTTTTACTTTTTATTTTATTTGGTCTGATGATGATATGAGACGATGTACGTACGAATTTTTGTAAATGGTATCAATATTTGAAGAAGTGAACAAATGAAGAAATTACTGTAACGATAGGCTATTTCATTTTTTATATCTATACACAATATTTTAATTTTATTTGTTATTTATACATGCATATTATAAAAGAATTCGACAAAGTAGTATCACGTGACACCGCTTGAACAAGGTGACTACACCCATGTATGAGTTGAGCCTATACCAAGAAGTGCCGATTCAATATAGCCTTTGTTAACTTGTTTGGGAAAAGCGCAATGTATTGTTATTTAAGTATTGCTAATAAAAGTGTAATGTACACATGGTGATGGTGGTAGAAGCCATCAAATAACTCCAACTATCAAGAATTTAATAGAGGGATTACATTACACCTACTATTATGGTATACAGATGAACTCTCATACAAAGTGGATTGGTTTTTGGGAAGTCAGGTCTGGAATTGTGCAATTTTATGGTCGGGATTTAGAGATTGATTAGACAAGGCGGGATAAGGATCCATATAGCAATATGTATAGATTTATATTCCTATTCTGGATGTTAGTGACCGTTTGGTTTACCTACAATTCAAAGCTCAGCCGCGCGAGACTTAAAAACACAGACACACACAATGGCCATGGGAGGAAGGAAGATAAACTCAGAATGGTTAGTGGTTATGCAAGTCCCTCGCCATCACCCTTGTCNACACAATGACCATGGGGGAAAGGAAGATAAACTCAGAATGGTTAGTGGTTATGCAAGTCCCTCGCCCTCGCCCTCGTCGTCACCCCCAACTCCACAATCCCCACTGCCTGTGAGCGTAGGACCTGCACATCACCCCTACTATTTCTCTTCGTCTCCTTCTCCTTCCCCACCATTCTCACCACACCCTTCCCCCCATACAGACATCCTCTACCCGATATCTATTGCTGCCTCTCCATTGCCATTTTCCCTGGATCACCAACTCCAACCTCATAAACTAAATTCCACATGCTCCTGCCTTTTAGACTTGTAAGCAGGCTCCTTTCCCTTGTACTCTTCTTTTCATTTCTTTTACCTATGGATAGTTTTTGTCATGTATCTTTCCTTTAAAAGCTAGAATTGCTACTCTTTTGCCTTCTCATTTTTTTTTTTATTGTTTTCTGTACCCCTTGGATTTTATGGGGAATATGCAGACTCAAATGGTTTCTTCAGAGATGTTGCACTTCTTTTACAACCAGAAAAAGGTGTCACTGGGTCATAGATTTTTACGACTGCCGCAAGACAATGGCTACACGAGAGAAAAAGCAAAGCCAGACAGAGCTTGCAGGAGTCAGCGCTCAAATGGCTTTATAGTAACCAAGTTCCTCAAAATGAAACACCAACTATAGTTTCTGATTTAGGTATAAGGAATGAACGAGGTATAAGGAATGTGTAAGAAAGATGTGGAATAACAAATAAATGCTGATGGCGTGATCTTCTGATTTAGATCTAGTTCTGAATAATGTACAGGGCATGTAATTATACAATCTTCTTTAGACAAATGTTATGTTTTAATAAAAATTTACTGCAAGAACTTGGCCTTGGAATACTGTATGAAGGTCAGTACTAAACAAAGTTAGAAAAGTTGAGGTTTGGTATACATATCCTCTTCCTTCTAATTTAAGATACTTCACTGTTGGCCCTGTGGTTTTTGTTGCTGAAAGGAAGGGTGGGTCTGAGGTGTGTTCTGAAGAGGCATCATACCCTGCTGCAGATTCTGTGTATTTTGCGACATGTTTCCAAATGTGCCATGCTGCTGCTGCTGTTGGATTGGCATCATACCAGGATTGTTTCCACTCATATTGAACACTGCAGAGAAAACGCCATCCCTGTTTAGGAACAAACGTTTTGCAACTAGAAACAAGCTGCACGTTTATTTGGTTTACAACATTCTCTCGCCGGGCTAAAAAAGAAAGAAAAATCCATTTGAACAGAACTATATGAAAGATGAGTAAAGGAGGTGCTTTTACTTTGATCACTCAGGTTTGCAGCAGCAAGATTCCGAGTTCCACCAGATATTCCAAACTGAAAGTAGTAATATGAGGCCATAAAACAATTGGCAACATAATACAAAAGAAACATGGAAGAATTAGGTTATTCCATGCAAATGGCTTTCAAAAAGCAGAACTTTCATATTAGAAGTACGAAATATCCTCGAACATGTGAAAGACTAACATACATCCTTAATCATAAGTAGTCAATTTCAAGAAATGTAAGTTAAATGTAACGAAAAGATTATACTTAGCTCACACAAGTTGGGAGAACAGGGAAGCTGTAGCCTCCCATCAATTTAAATCAAATTCACAGTCAAGACAGAATCTCAAAACAGAAAATATTTGAGGTGTGTAATGCCAATAAAATAGAAAATTCCAATCAACACTCATACAGAAAACAAATGAACTTCTCCCTTTGAAGCTAACTAAAGACATCAAGATCTCACTTTACACTCTAGAGAAGGCATTCTCACCTCGTCCCGAATTATAATTATAGATAGACCTAATAATAACTCCAGCATGCATGACGACAGCACTAGGTAATACATTTTGACACACCTGCATTCGTGGCAGAAGAGTTTGTGATGACATCATTGCTGACATATTTGAGATCTGCCATACCAAATAAGTTTAACATGATGCGAAGCAGATTGGATATTTGAAATTTTAAGCCCAAGAAAAGAATGCATGACAAATTGAGAATTGATGTGTACTTTCAGCACATTTCAATGGTAGAACAAGTAACAAAGAAATAGCTTGTACATAGTAGATAACTCAGTGAACTGGTTCATCAATAAAACAGATAATAAAGCAATAAACAGCAAATAGTCAAACGATCTAATGAAGCATGACACAGAACAGACCAGATGAGCATTGCATTAGCATGTATACTGAGGAAGTTAGTTATATCTATGTCACAGGGGAGGACTACACACACAGCTGACCTAATCAATAACCTCAATGGCATGTGCTGTACAACAATGAGTGCCTAAAAAACTATTTGACAAGCTGAGTGGGAACCAAATAGATATGAAAATTTTCTAATACTTTTGTAACTGCTTCAATGCATACAATGCAACGAATATTTAGTTAGAACCATCAATTTTAAAGATCCCCGAAATTTTCAGTATGTGAAATACCAGTTCAATGCATGTGATAAAAAACTTGCATTTAAATCCAATAGGAACTGTATATGAAGATGTCCTAGTTGGTAGAATGGGCAGTTTGCAGAATTAGAAAGAAAGTTCCTCTGCATCAACATGCTGTTGAAAAATACAAGTAAATGCCAACTAATGCACATAAGAGGCAAGCGGAATAAGTATGTCACTTCAATAGACATATCTAGGTTCCACGGTCTACCAGGAAGCAGAATAAGACCACATAGCAGATTAGGTTAAAAGATTTAATTCATTCTCCAGTTCTGCAACTTGCCACAGTAAGAAAACAAGAATAAAGCCAAATAAATTTAAAGAGGCAGAAAACAGCAGAATCTGGTGATTTTGAACTCAAAACTATTGGACAAAACAAATCCTTCGGTTTCAATTTAAGTGTCTTAGTATGACTAGGCACGGAGTTTAAGAAAATAAGGGAAACTTTTGAATCTTGCGGTCTTAGACTAAAGATGTGTGTAATGTAACAAAATGCCATGTGAATCTTGTGGCCTTAAACATGCCATGTAGAATGTTGGATTTAAAATGAAGGGAGTAAGCCATTACGGATAGGCTGTCTGATGAAGAAGCAAATAAAATAAAAACTGAAATTTGTGACTCACCATCTGAGAGTTAGGTGTACTTTGGGCAGAATTGAATAGTGCAGTATTCATAGGACTAGAAAACTGGTTTAAATGTCGATTCAGCTGATTTCCTTGGTTGAGCTGACTTTGACCCATACCATGATGAATTGCACCAGATGGTAGTTGCCTACCCTGAAACTGTTGTGCTCCCAGTGGCTGAGAGAACTGCATCTGAGGCTGACCATGCAGCTAATAAACAGGCTCATCAGTTATTACATATTGGCCAATGTAATGAATGACAGAAACTAATATACTATTACCAAATAGGATAATGATTATATTCAGGTTTGAAGAAACCGTTCATGGTAAGCATATTAAAAGTGCAGAAGTTACTAGCAATTACTCCAAAAAATTTCTCTCTTGGAAATCGTGCAATTTTGAAAAATTTCCCGATGACTTTTTTCAAGCCGACCTTCTGATGGAAAAGAAAATCTTTTTTCTGGCAGGGGAGAAATCCTTCGAATTAGCAGACATCGGAGATGGTCTAACTCGCCGGTTCGTCCTAATCGAGCGAGCACATCGTTTCACTAGCAGGTTGAAGATAGATGATGAAAACCTCAGATGGGTTTGTGAAGCCCTCAAATCAACAACGAGGAGTAAAGGAAACAGATGCAAGAGATGGGGAAGGAAAATACAATCGTATGTGTACAGAGTGTACCAGAACTTCAACATCTATGGTCGCTTTGTGCGAATCAAGTCTTGGTTGGGAGATAAAAAATCAGCAGTGATTATCCCAGAGTCAGATTATAATTGGGGTTGGGGAGATGTGGCGGAGAAAATACTCAGGTTTCTGGGTAAACCACACAACCCAGTTTTAAACCGATTTGTAAGCATCGATAGATCCTATGCTGTTGCAGCTGATAGCAACAAATGGCCAGAGCCAACACAACGTTCGAAAGAGGAAGTTAATACTGTCAGAGGTGAAAAACTCCAGTTCCTTTCTAGTTGTTTGGTCGGAACATTCAATGACCCCTTCAATTCGAGCCCAAGATGTGAAGTCATTCAACCCTGGTTCATTCGTAGATGGGGAATTACAACAGAACTCAAAGTTACACCACTCACCCACAATCAGTTCCTCTTTGAGCTCCCTCTTAGGCAGGAGGCGGAGAGAGTCAAAACAGGTGATTGGTTTTGGAATGGAAGGAGATTGTCTCTTAAATGGTGGTCACCAATGGTAGATTCTAGACCCAATATACAGCAGCCAGAGCAACGATGGATTAGGGTTTTTGGCATTCCCTTACATGTATGGTCAGAGAACACCTTCAAATCCATTGGTGATAGGTGCGGGGATATATTGGTGCCGATGAAGATACCAAGAACTCATTTTTTCTGGGCTCGAATATGTGTAAAGATCTCAGAATTTGCAATACCTGGGAAGTTTGAGTTGAAGGTTGAAGATGGGATCTTTGAAATCGCCATTATCAATGACGGCCATCCCAGTCCAGCAATTGCCGGAAAAGAAACAGTGGTACAGGTTATTGACCAGGTGTCTGTTTCAAAACCCACGCCTGCATTGAGTCCCACAAAAATAGTAGCTGGCCAACCTACTACTAGGCACATGCCTCAGCACGTGGAGCCTCTGGAGGGCATCTTAAAATCACAGTCAGGTCCCTCTAACACTAAGCCACTTCATAAGCCACATTTTGTGGATCGGGCTTATTATAAAAAGGGCCCAATAAGGAGAAAGGCTAAAAAACAGGGCAAGGGGAAAAAGAAAATGGAGTAGAGAAAGACTGGGCCGGCCCAATCTTTATGTTTTAGCCCTACTCTTTCCTGTCATATGGCCAGCTCACCACAGGCCCCCTCTATCCCGACAGAGATGGAGCAAACCCTAGAGCTCATCACTGGAGCATCCGAGGAAACTTCTCACGAGGCAGACGATGAAGAAGACCAGTCACAATGCATGTCAATATCATCGCTCCCACATTTGAAGTTGGCATCTACTCTGGTTAGTGCTTCTGAGTCTGACCTCTCCTCTTGCAGTCAGTTTTTGCCACTTCCCTGGTACGAGGGTAGCTCTCAGAACAACCACTCTATTGCTGATCCTTCTGTGATTAAGACAACACAGTGGACAAAAATTGTCATGGCCAAGGCTTGCAAAGCTTTTGGTATTAATGTCTCGGGTTTTGAACATGAAATCCTTGACATGATATTGAGGATGGAACAGAAGAGGAGGGATCAACTTCAGCCAGCTTCAAAAAACCAAGGCAAGGGCAGATAAAAAATCGAAAAAGAAAGGGGAAATTGAGGTAAACAACCTTAGGAGTATGATTAATTATGAAAGAAGGAGCTGCAGTTCAGGGGAAAGGCTTATGAGGGGTAGGAAACAAAAAGCTCTTTCAGAATGAGAGTTAAAATTATCAGCTGGAATGTGTGGGGGTTACATGATAGTGGTAAAAGAAACACTATTAAATCTCTGGTGCAAAAGTGGAAGCCAGACATTTTGTGTATGCAAGAAACAAAATTGGAAGACTGTTCAATTGCGATAGCAAGGAGCATCTGGGGTTCAAGATGGTTAGACTGGGCAGAACTCAAGGCAAATGGTTCTAGTGGGGGAATAACTATCTTTTGGGATAGGAGATTATGGACTTGTACTGATGTTCAACAAGGTTTCTATTCTTTATCCACAATGCTTGAAGGGGTCCGGATGGATCTTAGGTGGTGCTTCACTGGAGTCTATGGGCCTCACTCCAATCGGGAAAGATCAGATTTTTGGGAGGAATTGGCTGCTATAAGGGGCTTATGGAGTGAACATTGGGTGATAGGCGGAGATTTCAATGTATGTAGATTTGAACATGAAAGGTTCAACTGCATAAGAAGATCCAGAGCTATGAGAAATTTTTCTGACTTTATCCAAGATATGGAATTGATTGATCTCCCACTTCAGGGAGCCAAATATACCTGGTTTAAGGGAGAAGACTCTGCTCAAGCATCTAGGATTGATAGATTCTTCATCTCAAACGAATGGAATGACACATTTGGCTCTGTGAAGCAATTAGCTCTCCCAAAGGTTATATCAGATCACAGGCACTACTGGAAAGTGGTGACTGGTCAACAAATCCTTCCTATTTCAAATTTGAAAATATGTGGCTATAACACGAGGGTTTCAGGGAAAAAAATGCAGAATGGTGGCAGAGTTACATGGTTAATGGCACCCCTGACTTTATCCTTTTCCAAAAGCTGAAACATTTGAAGAAAGACATATCCATATGGAACAAAGAAGTATTTGGCAAAATAGAAACAAGGAAAGCCAGAGCTTTGGAGGAACTAATGCTACTGGAGCAACTAACTGAAGGCAGGATCTTGTGCCAAGCTGAAAAAACAACAATGCTGAACTTAAAGATTGAACTACAGCAGCTCGCAAAGACAGAGGAGATTTCATGGAGACAAAAATTCAGGTGCTTGTGGCTTAAAGAAGGGGATAGGAACACAAAATTCTTCCAAAGAGTTGCTAACTCCCATAGAAGATACAACTGCATAGGCATGCTAAAGGTGGACGATGAAATCATTGAGGACAAAGATCTTATCAAAGGTGAAATACTCGAGTACTACCAGAATCTCTACTCTGAGGATGAGGATTGGAGACCTACAGCACATTTTGAGGGTCTAGAGCGCCTAACTCCTGAAGAAAGGGTGGGTCTGGAAAATGCATTTTCAGAAGAAGTGAGAGACGCTATAAACATTTGTGCTCCTGACAAGAGCCCCGGTCCAGATGGCTTCACAATGGCCTTCTATCAGAAGTCATGGGATACTATCAAGCATGATGTACTTGCCGCCATTAACCACTTCCATCAAAACTGCCACATGGTTAAGTCTTTCAACGCATCATTTATTGCATTGATCCCTAAAAGAAAAGGAGCTATAGATCTAAGAGATTATAGACCTATAAGTCTCATAGGCAGCATTTACAAGATTGTAGCTAAAGTGCTAGCTGAAAGACTCAAAGGGGTGATACGGAAGCTTGTTTCTGATCATCAAAATGCTTTTATCAAGGGGAGGCAAATAACTGATGCTGCTCTTATAGCAAATGAAGTTTTGGACTGGAAAATGAGAACTGGGGAAGCTGGACTTTTGCTCAAGTTGGATGTTGAAAAAGCTTTTGACAAATTGGGGTGGTCTTATCTATTCCCAATTCTTAGACAAATGGGATTCGGAGAGAAATGGATCAAGTGGATTAGATACTGCATCACCACAGTCAAATACTCCATTCTTGTTAATAGAAGCCCAATGGGATTCTTCTCTTCAAAGAGAAGGATTAGACACGGGGACCCTCTTTCACCCTTCCTTTTTATATTGGCTATGGAGGGACTCAGTAAAATGCTTGAAAAAGCTAAGCAACTACAATGGTTTGAAGGGTTTTCAGTGGGTAATAACAGGAGCTCTCCTATTTCTGTGTCACACCTTCTGTTTGCAGATGATACACTCATCTTCTGTGGAGCGGATAAGTCTCAAGTCCTCTACCTAAACATTACTCTTATGATATTTGAAGCTATGTCTGGCCTGCACATTAATATGCTCAAGAGTGTTATCTACCCAGTGAACTCGGTCCCAAATCTGCTAGAACTAGCAGACATTATGGGTTGCAATACAGGCTCCTTCCCTACCACATATTTGGGTCTTCCTTTAGGTGCCAAATACAAGTCCACTGAGATATGGAATGCAGTAGTTGAAAAATTTGAGAAGAAGTTGGCTACATGGCAGAGGCAATACATATCTCTTGGTGGTAGGCTTACCCTTATCAATAGTGTATTAGATAGCATACCCACCTATTTCATGGCACTTTTTCCTATCCCAGCAAAGGTTCAAAAGCAATTGGACAAAATAAGAATGAATTTTCTATGGGAAGGGAATAGCATCAGTCACAAGATTCACCAAGTGAAGTGGCACAAAGTCACACTTCCGAAAGCACTTGGCGGACTTGGAGTTAAGGACCTCACCGTACATAACAAAAGTATGTTGATGAAATGGCACTGGAGGTTTAATCAGGATAATGCTGGCTTATGGAAGGAGGTTATCATAGCAAAATATGGTAGACTCAACCATTGGTGTACCGATAGAACTAGAACCCATTATGGCACAGGATTATGGAAGAGCATACACAATTTATGGGGAGCTTTCTCTAATAACGTACACTTTCAGATTGGTGACGGGGCACTACAAAATTCTGGACTGAAAAATGGATAGGAGACTCAACACTAAAGGAAGCTTTTCCAAATCTCTTCCTTATTGTAGGAAATCCAGAATCCTTTGTTGCTCATAACAGAGAAGGCAACACATGGAGCCCGATCCTCAGAAGGAACCTGCAAGATTGGAAGGTGGAGGATTTCATAGACATGCTAAAGTTATTGGAGAGCTGCACTATAAACACTCAGCTGAAGGACACACTGAAATGGGGAAACGCAAAGGATGGAACTTACTATGTCAAGGCAGGGTATGCTAAATTGTGCTCCAACAATATGATGATTGATCTATGGCCTTGGAAACTAGTATGGAAGACAAAACTGCCACCCAAAGTCTGCTGGTTGGCCTTAAAGAATGCATGCCTCACCCAAGACAACCTTACCAGAAGAAACTTTCAACTGGCCAACAAGTGTTACATGTGCCAAGTTAACTCAGAATCTGTTAACCATCTTCTCCTCCACTGTTCAATAGCCACAGACATATGGAACATGTTTCTCAGTATTTTTGGTCTACACTGGACTATGCCATTCTCTACCAGAGATGCATATGTGAGCTGGACCTCAAGGGAAGTTGGCAGAACCATCAAAAAAGTCTGGAATATGGTACCTGCAAGCATTTTTGGGTGTATTTGGGTCGAAAGGAATAGTAGATGTTTTGATGGATTATCAACTTCAATAGGTTGCTTAAAGGCTAGATGTTTGGTTAATTTGTTTCACTGGGCTAACCTTACTACTATAAAAACCTCTGATGTTTTCTTGGACTTTGTCAGCTCTCTAGTTTTGTAGCGCTTAATTGTAAATGAGCTGTCAAACTCACTTCTTTTGTAACTTTTGCATCTTCTTGATGCCTTCAATGATATATTCCACTTACTTCATCAAAAAAAAAAAGTGCAGAAAATCAATATGTTTTATGAAAGTAACATTGTATTAATATCAACATAAAGGTTGTGCTGAAGCTATATTTACAGTTCAAAATGCCACACAGAGTATCCCCTGTCCTTCTTACAAGGAATCAATCATGTCAAATAAAGGTACTGCATCGATAACCCAATAACATTTTATCAGTTCGGGCTATCGGTTATACCCGATATATGCCCAGCCCTATCTACAAAGCTTTCTTTACACCAAAAATAAAGAAATAAATACAGTTCGCCGTAATTTTCTGGTTTGCAGAAAATCAATTTTTGTCCTGTTTTTGTTTAAAGACTAAAAAGTTCTTACTATTTGGAAAATACGTGTAATCTGCTGGAGTAAACAATTATCTAGGTAATAACTTAACTAACACCGCCCCCTGAAAAGAATTTGAATCAGATTTTTATGCTTTTGTACGAGAAAGATGTTTCGCAGTTGGAAGGTGATTCGGGCTCTTCCACTGTTAAATCCATTTATAGGTTGTCATAAAATAGTCAAGGGATTCCCTAATGCAGCTATTTGGGCAGCAAAGACAAAAAGAGTCACATTTTTGTGAGGACAGCTGCCTCGGATTCAATTCTCACAGCTGATAATTGGAGGAAACAAAAGAAGATATAGAGGGTGTTTTGCTAAGCTCATAAGCTTCGCATATCTACACGTTTAACATCAAAAGTACTAATAAGTCATCAGCCAAACGCCATAAGTTGGTCACCCACAACTTATGATTTTTCAGCTTATAAGCACTTTTAGGTTGATCAAACCTTTTACCATTTTTATTCCTAATATCTTTTGTGATCTCCAAAATACTCTTCCTAAAACAGAAGTCCTAATTATCTTTATATTCTATCTCCGTCATTCATCTTTTTTAATGTGAAAATACTTTCATATTTATATTTACATATCTCTAAGGACTTCTCAGTCATTTTAACAGAGAATGTGCTTATCATCACCTTTATACCAAATACACTAACGGATTATAATCAGTTTCAGCACTTCTATCCATTCACGTAACAACATATTGATACAGTTAGTATCAGCATCTAAAAGTGTTTTTCAGCATTTGATATTTATCAGCTAGTCCATTTATTAATACACCGTATTTTTTATGGTAAATTATGGGGGCTGCTGTTTATAGGTATCTACAATGTTAAAGAGAGACTTGAAATGCTTGAAATCTCAGATAAGGAAGCAAAAGTAGAAAAAGAGTGTCAGAAGGCATCCCACATGCGATATACTGGACAATCTAGAAAGAATACAACAGACATTTGAGCAGAGGAAAATCTGATGCTACACAAAGCATATTTTGGTATTTGTACTGTATTTTCAGAGTCAAAGCAACTCGCTGAGTTTTAAGATGACTGATGGGATAACAAAAGCAAGTTATTTGAACGGTGCTCTCTTGTATACAGTTAGTAATCGAATTTATTGCCTCATTTTGTTAGTAAAACTAGAATATTTGGTCATTATTAAAAAAAAAACAACTTAGTTGACGAAAAAGAACAAGCATTGCAGAATATGCACACTATATCTCATGCAATTTCACAAAGAGATACCTTAAAACAGTCAAGATGGTTGTACAAACCGTACCTGTCCCAGTCCAGGCATTGAGGCTTGCCTAAGCTGCTGTTGGGCAAGAAGTAGCTGCTGATGCTGAGGCAACTGCATTATTTTCTGCCTCTGCTGGAGCTGATGCTGCTGCAACTGCTGTTGCTGCTGCTGTTGTTGATGCTGCTGTTGCTGAAGGCTATGTTGCTGAGGAGATGGTGTATTCATCATGTTCGCACTAGACCTAGGTGAGTTGACATGTGGCAAGGGGGATGCTGTTGTAGTATCAAAGGAAGTAGTCCCAGAAGGAGAAGCCGCTGCTCGAAGTGCTCCAGAAGCCTACTCCAACAACAACACATAGATATTAGAATTGAAGAACTTCTAAGGAGATATGGACTCAATACATTAACATAACTTGGGGGACATTGATTAAAATGTTGTGTTTAAGTTAAGAAAAAGAAGGGAAAAAGGATATGATTAATTTGCTTCCTGCAGGTTAATCATTTAGTGTTTCCCTAATGCTCTTTAGCGCAATCCGCAATGTATAGAGGTAAAGAGATTTATATCATCTTTTCAATCTGATTACTCAAGTATTTAATAGCAAACATGGACACATGTCGAACATGTCCACTTAATCTCGCTTCCTCCATTAAATTCAAATAAATGAGGGAAATAATTCTTACCACCTCCTTCACCCCAACCAAAAAAGAAAAGGTGTTAAACACTTGCACGAGAAGGTGAACAACTGGCAGTATTAACATCAGGTATGAGTATTTGGTGTAACACAAGACGTGTATATGATTTTAAAACACTATAATGAACCTTTTAAACTCCTTGCAATAATTGATGGATCTAAACCCATTGTAAGATGTACAGTTTTCCGGTACCACTTGGTGCTATGGAACATACTTAACAAAAAAATCAGGTTGGCCGACATAGAAAGGGGATACCTAGAGCGAGTAATTAGCAACTATCGAAACGAAAAGGCACCCAAAAAAAAAAAAATCCCCTCCCCCTGAACAAGAAAAAATTAAGTAGAACCATACAGAAAACAAAAAAAGGTAGCCCGTTACATTAAGCTCTCTCTATGCGCTGGGTAAAGGGAAGGCCGGACCTTACTTTGCATTTTTTGCAAGAGGCCTTTTCCAAAGCTGAACCCAACAACCCGTGACTCCCTGGTTACATGGCACAACTCTAACCTTTGCGCCAAGGCTCCTCTTCTCCAAACAGAATGATCGCATAACATAATTGTCTAATAACTATTTGGCCCTTTGTTCATAGCCCCTTTAAATAACAAAATTACAGGAGGATCTGGAAGTAAAATTCATGTGTTACAACTTTATCTTCATTACTTAAGGAAAATGCTCATTTACAAGGCAAATTATAAGAAAACTGACCTGTAACAAAGCTCCCTGACTATTGACATTGCTCGATGAAAAGGGAGGAGTATTCTTCAGATAAGTGCCTGCTTGAACATAGCATCAGTTTCTCTAGTCAAATGTTCATGAAATAAAGTGGAGAGAGCATGACAACAATAGTTGATAGACTACCAGACGAATCAGCGAAAGAGGGAGGCCCATCAGTGACTGTAAGCACATCTACCAAATGACCAGGAAGTGCAGAAGTAATATGTGTTTGGTCTCCAGGTACACGTAACCCTGTGTAAGTACCAGTTTCATGAAATCTGTGAGTATACATGTAACCAAACAAGAAATAAACCAGTGTACCTCCAAACAGCACCAAAGAGATGCTACACATACACTAGATACGTGTCGATGTATTTGTACATAAATGTTATGATGCATTGCAGCAGCATATAAAATCATTTGACTTGAAATTTTCACCCTTCCTATACCTGTATGCCATATCAATTCTTCATCAGAAAATATGTGCAATTTACTGATCACAAGGCACTCAATGGATATGATAGTTTGCAAGAACCGTGCTCTCTCTTTCTTTTAGTTTAAGTAGAATAAACATCACCATATGGACGATTGGGGTCCAAGAATCTTAAGCCTCGATTTCTCATGCATTAACAAATGCTGAGAGGGAAAAAAGAATCTTTTTAGGCAAAGGACTCAGAACACAAAAATATCACCTTCACCATGATTTACTGCAGTTCGAAGTAAATTTTCTTGTTCCTGAATTTTTGCTGCTTGTGCCTTGTCAATAGTTGGAAGCAGTGTTGGCCCTTGTCTGGTTCCAAAGTAGGCTTTGCGGGTATCAGCTATGACCTTCTCAGCACTTTCACATGCTGCTCCAATCATATCAATTCTAACCTGCTAGTTTATAGGAATCTTAGAATGCCACACAGATCGAGAAACATAAGAACAGCATCTGCAGAGTTTTCCACCTTCAACTTCTCAATTTGGGGTGCTACTGATAGGTTTTGCATGCTGTGTAATAATTGCTCCCTTTTGGAATTATCTTCGACTTCCATCTCCGGCAGCAGCTTTGATGACAGCATAACAGGTAGAACTGCATCAAAAAGTATTTGCAACTAACAAATGACAGAAAGTATCTTCCGGATTTTCTGTCAACAAAAATATCACATAGCCACAAAACAAAAATATCTGCTTCTTTCTTTCTATAATCTTTTTGCAAATTTGGCAAGATTTGCGCCCAAGCAATACCACAAATAATTTGGGTTTGGGTGTGGTTGATTGATTGATCGATTATGCTCAAACAATCTCACCACGTGACAACAGAATTGATAGCAATAGTAACTGACCGCTGTGCTATCTAGTTATTCACACATGTATATCAATCTATCCACAGCAAGTCAGAAATACGTAAAATGTTAAATAAAGAGTCACTTAGCGGTCAAACCAAATATATATACCCTTAGGTAGCATTCAAGAGAAGAGAATTAGTAAGACACCAACTTTCTTGGTGATCCACTTTCTTCTAGACAATCTGCATGCTTGCTTATACGCAACGACGAGTATCAGTGGTACGCGTGTATGATTAGAAAAGGACAATAAAAGTCCAACTTTACAAATTTACCAAGTGTGAATAAAGAAGTCCGTACTTGCAGCATTCTCAGCATTTACATTCCTGGGGTGTACAACGAAAGCCTTGGAAACCTTCTTAATATCTTCAACAATGTTAAAAAGCTCGAGATTCACCATAGAAAACTGCCCCAGAATATCTTGCCTGGCAAAGAGGATTTATAAAAACTAAAGGTTAACATGTATGAGGAATGAGTTGGAAACCAGCATGAGTTTTATATACTTCCTAAAAATACCATCTTTTTCTTTTTTGATTGGTAATTCTTAAGGATATACCATCAAGTATCAACTGTAAAATACTTCATCTCAATTTCAAACAAGAACCAATTAGTTAAACAGAGTCTATAGAAAAATAAAGGGTGTGTGAAAGTGGGAGCTCAGATTTCATGTAAAAAAAAAATTAGGCTTTATTCTTCATTGCACCCTTCCTAGAAGGTGGTTTTGGAAAATAGGTGCTCTTTGGGTGTATTGATTTCTTGTTGGTTAATGGTATTATTTACAGTTTTACCAACAAAAAAATTAGGCTTTATTTATCTCGTGGAAAATTCGGATTCCATTTTCCAAATAATATGGAAAACAGAAATCAGCAGTATAATAAGATACCAAAAAGGAAATCAATATCATCTGTGCAAGCCTACCTTCTTATACATCATTCCCTTCTACTAGCCAATGTGCAAGTCTATCTTAGGTCGGTTCTTTTTTTAAAAAAAAATTTAAGGGGGCTTGGATAATATGTAAGCGCTAGAGAGTGAAGTTCTACACTCACTCAACTGTGACAATCCACATGTATAAGCAGATCATTTGGAATTTCGTCCTACTGCTAAAAATAGAATAAATTAATTCAAGAAAACAAAGAAGAGAACCATTTGGGGACAGCATTGTTGCGAGCGATGGCGTCGAAGTCTTCGAGGATGCGAGAAATATCCTTGAATAGACTAATGGCTCGAGTTTTGACGGATTCGAGGTTCAGTTGCTGTTGAACGGCGGGGTTCAGGCCCTCCGCCACCCTGAGCGGCTGTTGCGGCTGTTGATCTTGAGCTCCTTCATGGCAGCCAACACTGCCCTCACACCTTCCTTATTCCATCGTGGCCTATTAAGTTCCTACATAAAGTTTTACTCATTTCACTATATGTTATGTCTGGGCACGAGAGTTTGTAAGAAAAGAGCGAAAGACTTTTCTAACTTATGTTGTTAACGAGGCACGTATAATTGTATGGATTAAAAAAAAATAGATTCATATAAATTAAAACGGATGTATTTGTAAGCTCCTATGAACTCATAAGTCGCGTTTAGTGAATGCTTTTTCCATGTGATTTATACGTTGCATTCTGGAAATGCACTTTGTACATGTAAAGGTTAAAATATGATATGACACGTGGTCGTCTAAAGGGAGTACACGTGGAACCCAATACAGGATGGCCGAAGACCGAACGCAGTCATTCCGCTTGTCACCGGAAAGGATAACGTTCATAAAGGTGTGTTAAATGCTCTGCGTCCGGTGGCATTTAATAAGGAATATTCTGCAACATTAAGAGCGACGGTATGTTACAAAAAATTTGACATTTATGTTCACCGTTACGTCTTCATCAATGACCCTCATAATTGACATTAAAGAAGAACACGATCCTAGGATCTCTTTCCCTAGACATAGCTATAAGTAGTGAGCTCAATTATCATTATAAAGGGGGGTAAATTTTCTGGCAAAACTTATATTGTATTCTATATAAAATTTAATACAATCTTATTTTCTTGCTCTTTGATCTCTTCATTGTTGTGCCCGAAAACCTTGTTCCCGGAACTGTCATCTCTGTTGTTTCATTTACATTTCAAGGCTACGTATTATACATTTTTTCAATAATGCATGATCAAATTAGTTCACTTGTCTAGAAACCACATACAAATTCAATTGTACCATTTTACGGGTAAACAGTTTGGCACCCGCCGTGGGACCTAGACAGTCGTGCAATTAAATTGATCCTTGCCTTTTTTACTAATGCTATTTGATTATTTTGTTTTAGAAAAAATCATTTAAAAAAATGGCAGATAACACTGTTAACAACACGCGCAACCCAGAAATTCGAGGGGATCAACCTCATTTCGAGGATGATCAGTGACACCCACAATGAGGGAAATGACGTCACACCGGTGCATGACAGGCAAAAAACTTGACAGGTTCGAGAGACAACTCCCGATGATGCTGATGAGGAGCATGTCGTGGATGCAGTGAGGGTTCTGCGAGAACAACAACCAATCATTCCAGGCCATCTCACGCGGCAGGACCATGTTATGACGGAACTGAAGCAGGCACTATCAGGGGCTTCAAATAATGCAAACAGATAAGATCTAATTCCTCTCGCTGTTCCAGCAAACCAAACAACGTAGAGAGTCAACAACAACACTTCCAGGGGCGAAGTTGGCTCCGACGGGGCCGGAGGGAGCAGATTTGGTCTCAACAACGAGAAAGACCCGTTCAAGAATGAACTTTTACGGTTTATGAGAGAAGTAAAATCCCGCATGGACCAAATCCCGGGCGCGCCACTAATATTGAAAGGCCTGGACTCGAAGAAGTATACTCAATTGCCATATAAGCCGAGTGCAAGCGCCAGAACAAATCCCAAAGCGGTTCAAAATGCCTGAAGTGCCAAAGTATGACGGGACTTCAGACCCACTGGAGCATATTACCACCTATACAACGGCGGTAAAAGGAAATGATTTAGCTCCTCGCAAAATTAAATTTGTGTTGCTAAAGAGATTTTGAGAAACTCTCACGAGGGGAGCTCTAACGTGGTATTCATTATTACCCGAGCATTCCATAGATTCATTTGATATGCTCACAGATTCTTTCATCAAGGCTCATGCCGGGGCCAGAAAAGTTCAAGCCCAGAAGGCCGACATATTCAGGATCGTACAGGGATAATCCGAATTACTACGAGAGTTCGTTACCAGATTCCAGAAAGAAAGAATATTGCTCTCGGTTGTCCCGGATGAATGGGCAGCTGAAGCATTCACCAAATGATTGAATCCGAGAAATTTAGACGTTTCTCGGAAGATGAAGGAGAGTTTTCTTGAGTTTCAAGAAACAACTTAGGCAGATGTTCACAACTGGTACGAGTCAAAGATAAGGATCGAAAATGACCAGGTCAGTTCCACGTCACCGGCCAAAGGACGGGAGAAAGCAGAGAAAAATCAAAGGATGACTACGACGCAGACAGACGGACTTTGAGGGGATGGTTCTTGCCCTACGAGCAGACCGAAGGTTGTGGCAGAAACTTTCAGGCAACAAACAAGTTCATCGGTGACAGAGGGACCGATCGTGGTCGAAACAATAGATCACTCCAGGATAAGGAGATGTCGGGGTCTCGGGATCCTTCTTACCCCAAGCTATCGGAATATAACATCAACGTCAGTATAGTGGAGTTGGTGTCGGTCATGAAAAATATTAAAGAGGCACGATTCCTGAGACTTATGAGATCCGATTCCAGCTAGAGAGATCCTAACTTATGGTGTGAGTACCATGGGACGAACAGTCACCGGACATGGGACTGTCGGCACCTCCAGGAAGAAGTGGCTACACTATTGAAGAATGGTCACCTAAAAGAATTCTTGAGTGACCGAGCTAAGAACAATTATGGTCATAACAGATATGACGCAGAACCTTCGAAAGCAGTAGAAGAACCCTCATGCCAGACGATCAATATGATCTTGGGGGGAATGAGATTAACGGGGTCACCTTTTCGTTAGCAAAGAAGACGAAAGTACCAATAACTCATAGTAAAAGACTCCGGGAAGACGATATCACTTTCACGGAGGAGGATGCAGACGGATTATTGTTACCACACAACGACGCACTGGTAAATTCTTTAAATATGTTAGATTTTAAGATTAAACGTGTTCTGGTGGATTCAGGAAGTTCGGCTAATATCATATAATGGAGAGTATTGGAACAAGCTAAACTCACCGGAAGTATTATCCCGGCACTAACATGGTTCGTGCCAACTAATAAGTATAGGAAAGGAAATGGACAGCACGTAGAATGTTTTCTCACAACTTTCCACAAGATAAAACTAACACGGATAAGTGTACCACTACACAAACATCAACAACAAGAATGCCCCCAGGCTATCACAAGTCATCACAGATCAATCCCTAACACAACCCACCTTGTCTCGCTACGTGTGCAATAATAAAGTAAATGTCCGCCTTGTCTCACCACACGTACATAATAATGTTCCCACTTGGTCTCGCCACATGCGCAACCCACATATATATAGCCCGCCTTGTCACGCCGCATATGCAAATATCAGTAGTAACAATAGCACGACAGAAACCTCGTGCAACCCCATAACAACAATCGCACGGCAGAAACCTCGTGCATCACAATAACAACTGCACGGCAAAAACCTCGTGCATCATAACAACAAGTACTACAACAACAATAACACTAACACAAGGGTACGGCAAATAAATCGACTCAAAAATTCTAGAACTCAAATAAACGGAAGAACAAGTTCACAAGGAGTAGTCACAATATGGAATGCTAGTCATAATAAGAAGAACTCAGCAAGGAAGGAAATAATATGTAACAACGGCCCGCAATATACAGTTCAACAATAAGGGAGCTAACACAAGTCGAATGATTCCAAATAAGGACAAGTCAACTAAGATATAGGATATCTAAACTTCTTTTAAGGTTGGGCAATTACAAAAGAGACATAATAAATTCAATTAAGGATAAGCAGCAGAAAGATAATCATAGTCTTAATTAAGAATGAACAATTACAGAAGAGATAATAATAACTTCAAATAAAGGTAAGCAGTTAGGGAAGGGATAACATGGCAATAGAAAGGTAACAATTTCAGTTAAGGCGCACATAAATCAAATAAGCAATAAGAGTGAATCATGAAGCAATTAATTCTAATTAAGCAGGTAGAGGTAAAACTAGTAATTAAGAAGCGTAATCATAACAAGAACAACTGCATATTCAATGAATACAAGGGTCTAAGAACCCTAAAAGGTCAATTTTTCACAAATAAGTCCCACCACGTACTCGTCACCTCGCGTACACGGACTACAATTAGCATAGAAAACTCAAATCCTAAGGGGTAGCTCCCTCACACAAGGTTAGGCAAGATACTTACCTCAGAGAAGACAAACCGATACTCTAAAATGAACTTCTCGGGTGAAATGACCTCTGAACAGCTCAAATCTAACCAAAATAACTTCAAAGCACAAATAAAACTCATAAGAAACTATTCTGGATCATAAAGGCTCAATCTTTATCAAAATCTAAGAATCGACACAAAAATCGACTCACGGGCCCGCACCTCGGAACCCGTCAAATTTCACAAAACCCGAACACCCATTCCGATACGAATTCAACCATACTAAAATTATCAAATTCAGATACCAATTCGTCCCTCAAATCATGATTTTTCATTTTGAAAGTTTTCTTCAAAAATACCTATTTTCCTCGACCCAAAACACAAATTAAATGATAAAAATAAAGATAAAATCATAGAATATAATAAATTCTAGGTGAAGAACACTTACCCAATCGATTTGCTTGAAAAACCCACAAAGAATCGCTCAAATCCGAGCTCTAGAACTCCAAAAAATATTTAAAATGGCTAACCCTCGGAATAGAGAACTTTATATTCTACCCAGGTATATGTACATCGCGATCGTGAAGAATAAATGGCTACTGCCCGGAATTGGTGTTATGCGATCGCGAACAAGCATCTGTGATCGCGAAGAAAGAAAATAATGGCCCAGGAACTGGGTTACGCGAACGCATGAAGCGGAACGCGAAAGCGAATGAGGGGAAAGCACGCTTACGCGTTCGTGGATAGAACCGTGCGAACGTGTAGAGGAAATGGTCACCAGCTCTAACTCCTAGTTTCTACTACGCGAACGTGATGGAGCGGACGCGAACGCGAACACGAAGAACGAAAAGGCAGGCTTCCGCGATTGCAGAAGGAGTTATGCGAACGCGGAGAACAAATAATTCATCCTCCAAAATTCGAACGTGGAGTAAGTGACGCGAGCACGATTAAGGAAACCAGATGGCAGAAACCGGCAGTCAAAAAATAGAAGAATTTGGCCCGTAGCCCATCCGAAACACACTAGAGGCCCCCGGGATCCCGTCTAAACACACAAACAAATTCTATAACCTAACACGGACTCTCTCGGGGTCTCAAATCACATCAAACAATGTTGAAACTACAAATCGCGCCATGAATTGAACTTGTGAACTTTCAAATCTTCCAACTTTAAAAACTCGTGCCGAAACCTATCAAATCAACCCAGAATGACGTCAAATTTTGCAGGCAAGTCCCAAATAACATAACTGAGCTATTCCAACTCTCGGAATCGCATTCGGACCCCGATATAAAAAAGTCCACTTTCGGTCAAAATCTCCGAAAATTCGACTTTCGCCATTTCAACCCTTAATCAACTACATACCTCAAATTCATCGTCCGGACACGCTCCTAAATATAAAATCACCCAACGGAGCTAACGAAATCGCCGGAACTCCATTCTGGAGTCGTCTTTATACAGTTCCAACTACGATCAAAATCCTAAGACTTAAGCTTCCGTTTTAGGGACTAAGTATCCCAAATCACTCTGAATCATCCGGTAACTGAATTCAACCACACACGCAAGTTAATACATATAATACGAAGCTGCTCGGGGCCTTATGACATCGAACGAGACTTAAATTTCTCAAAACGATCGGCCGGGTCGTTACAGTTTTTAATGAGGTAGCAACAGAGAGGATACTACAAAGACATCAGCAATAAGACATTTGATAGCAAGGCAAACAAGCAAGCTTACACTCAGGGATGGTTAGATAATCTTTGGTTCGATAGAAAATTCCCACTGGGAAGTTAAGTTTGCTACTGAACAAAGGTTACCCCACTGTTCACGAGCACGAACCACTAGAGGATTGTTAGATATTCCTTCACCCGATAACATAAATTCTTGAGGGGAAGTAAAGTTGTGTTACCAAGTTGAGGATTATCTAGCAATTCATTAGTGAAATCTTCGAAGATACGAGACTTTCAGTGTTCCAATTCTCACTCTTCGCATTCGAACATTAGGGGGGAATGATATGAGGACACGGCACAACGACTGCCATGTCAACTGGGGAATGAAAATCCGAAAACTAAATGCATCATCGGGACCGGGGACTGCGCAACCAGCCTCGTAGAAACAAGTTGTATAAGATAGCCACAAGTAATGGCAATTTATTTTCACCATAGCAAATGATTATGTATTTTTTGAAAATAGAAGGAATAAAATGAAATACTTTTGCTTTTATCTTGTTTTTGATCTAAACGATGAATAAACTGTCTTTTGAAAGTTAAACAAGTACTTCAAATATTAGTGCCATAATAAACAGGAGACGTCCTCTTCAAAAGCACCGTAAACATAACATGGCCCTCTCTTATAAAAACCCTTACGTTAAAGGGTTGGTTTCGGAAGAATCTATGCCCGGAATAAAAAATGCATTCGGAGAAAAATACACCCGAAGCCACATATGAAAAGGACGCATAAAGTAAACTTGCGCAAATACTTATAGAAACCCTCATGTAAAAGGGATAATGCTCGGAACGGAAGTGTTTCGAGGAAAACGCATTCGAGACTACACATAGTAAAACGTGAACAGGAAAACATGCGTTGAACTCTTAAGCAAATGCAAATATTAAAGACTTGCATGGATATTCAAACGAAAGTAAGACACAAACGATACTTGAGAAAAAATATGTCTTTATTTACAAGAACGTACCAAAACGGTAAAAGTTCAAAATGGGAAAAAGAAAAGAAAAGCCAAATTGCAGCGTCTCCGGAACCAGTAGGAAGAGAAGTGTCCGCATTCCCGAGAGAAGTAGGTGGGTCCACCAATGGCTCGACGTTTTCCCTAGTTTGGTCTTCAGCATTGTCACCTTCTGATCCCTCTTCAGTTTTCGAAAATTCTGAACCGGAACCAGAAGAACCATGAGCATCAAACTGCGCCGGGAGTCCATTTTTAGCAGCTAACTAAAGCTCTCGGGCCTTAGCAATCCATCAAAGTCGATGATACCAGCTTTGGCCCCCTCCAAGGTTTTTCTCCTCATGCTATACATGGCATAAGTTTTTTCAACAATGAGGGAAGTCGCTCGACGCTTAAGTTCTTCTTTAAGTTGGGTAACCTCAGCAGAAAGTCTTTCCCGGGCGGACCTAGCAGATTTGCGGCTGACGTTAAGGTGGCGGACAATTGAACTAAAAAAGCCTATTATGCTCGATAATTTTCTTGGACTTCTCTTCTAGCTAGGGCGTGTTTTGCCC